TTCAATTAATGCAATTTCTCAAAAGGAAAAAGAAATTATTATTTTTTGTTGTTGTAATGCTTGAGAGCGAGAGCTTTGATCTCTCAGCAAAATTATTTCCGCTGAAGGGGAAGAAAAATTGTAAATGTGCACAAGAGCAAACGCCAAATTTATAAAACGCCATAACTCATAGCCCAAAATGTCACTAAAATTGATTGCCAGGCATTGGCCTTAAACATCGGGATCTGTGAGGATTAATTTTATTCAACTCGACTTTGTTTAATTCTGATTGTTTCGGATTTATTGACTCTGGATTTATTCAACTCGGATTGTCCCTCACACACACGTTATTGTTATTTCTTATTTATTTATTTAAGTAAATACACACATTTATTTATTTAAATAAATACACACACAACCCCTCATTTTGGACTTTGTTTGAGTAAATGTGGTTAACTATTTATTTCACATTCCAATGTGTAAGTGGAAATAAAAATTCACGAAAATTCACGCGAGGGGGGAAAAAATTTTACGATAATTCACGAGAGTGGAAAAAAATCACGAAAATTTTACGAGAGGGAAATTAAACTGTCATATATTTAAAAATAGAAAGTAAAAAAAAATTTTTTAATTGGATTGAAAATTTTCGGACAAAATTGTTGAGTTTTTTTTGAAACTGTGTCAGTTAAAGGAATAATCAGAATAAAAAGAAAAACATTTGTCAATTGTTTGAGAGAGGAAATACAAAACATTTATTTAAACAGACTTTTCTTTGTAAGTAAAAAAACTTATCGTTAATTTTTCCATTGGGAAGTGAATTGACTAAAAATAAGACTAGACTGACTTCTCGGCTTTCAAATGGTCAGTGTTGCATATAACTTTTTCCATTAAATTTGACAGTAACTTAAGACGCTTGTTTTGCAATTTTTAATCCAAAAAAAACTTGATAAAGACATGTTTTTGTTTCCATTTGCTTTTCAATAAAAGAACAACAAATATTTAGAAAATGTTTGTTGTTGTTGTTGATACTAGAAAATGTTTGTTGATACCAGAACATGTTTAATTACAAAACAAGCACCAATTTTTAAAGCTCTAATTTTATAATTTATGAAAGCAAAACATTAAGTTTGTAGTGTAGTTGGAAACGACTAGGTTTTGAGTCTATAAAAGAAAATGCGACGAGGGTTCGAACCCCACCGGTTGTAAGAATTTTTTTTTTTTTGAAAATGAACTTAAAATACAACAGTAATACATAAAAGACTGAAATTAGGCCTGTAATATAATCAAATTTAATTCACAAAACAAGCAAAAAAAAAATTTCTTGATTAATTTTAGGAATTATGGATTTAATAAAATTAATTTTCTCTCTAATAGAATTTTACTAGTATGTATTATTAACAGACGAATAACACTAGAAAAGGAAAGAGGTATTAACAGAGGATTCTGTATAGAAATAGTAAGAGATGAATTAAAGCGCTAATAAACAAAATACAGAATAAGAAAAAAAAAATTTTTCTCATTTTCAAAATGACAATTTTTCGGATGAGCCCTCTCTTCTTTTTCACTTTACCCCCAAAGAGTCAGTCTACTTAATTTTCATATTAAATTTTATTTTCCAATTAGACTTGGACTAGTGTTTATTGTAGCGAAAATAAAGTGAGAAATAAAAGAAAACAGCAAAATGTGTGTGAGAAAAAGTAGTCGTAATAAAAACTAAAAACCAGTGACTATTTTTATTCTTTTGTATTTTCGATTTAAAATGGAGAAAGGTTAAAAATTAGCTCGATTTAAGAATGGAGAAAAAAAAATTTTAGACAAGAATAAAAATTAAAGGAAAATTTTCTCTCATTTTCAAAACTCAATTTTCGGCTCTTTTTTTCATTTTACCCCAAAAAGTCAGTCTACTTTATTTATTAAATTTTATTTTTCAATTAGAATTGGATTAGTGTTTATTGTGGCGAAAATCAAATGAAAAATAAATAGAGAAAACAACAAAATGTGTGAGAGTGAATAGTTGTAATAAAAACTAAAAACGAGAGACTATTTATATTCCCTTTTTTTTAATAGAGAAAGGTTAAAAATTAGATAGATTTAAGAATAGAAAAATTTTAAAATAGCAAAAACCTTTAAAAATAGAGAAAAATGGAGAAAGAATTGGCGAGTACAGTAAAGGAATTGTTTATTAAAATTCTGTTATATAAGTCGGATTTTTTTTGGGAGCCAATCAACACTTGATAGTCATCCGTGTCGAGTGGTTTCTCATGAGTCTGCACCATATACTCTCTAGAATGAGTGTCAAGTGCTTTTCAAACAAAAAAATTTTTTTTGAAAGTTAATATACTTAACACTTGATACGGATGTCATGTAGGAGGGTGCACTTGACACCCGACAAAATACTCGACACGGATGTGGAGTAGCCTAATTTAACAACATTTAGTATGTGGCAAAATCGCTTTCACGGGATCCTGTAATTTTTACCATTTATAAATTTTAGTTTCAATTACAATTTCAAAAACTGTTTTGTAAATGTTAAAATTAATTTTCAAAAAAAAATATTTTCCGGAGAAAAAATAAAAATAAATTTTATGTAGCATTGAAAATACACAAATGAAAGATCAATTCATTTTCCTTACTAAAAATAATATAAAATGAGAAAAGGCTGACTTTTTCTAAATGCAAAAAGGTTTATTTTTAACCGGCTCCGTCTGACACGACTGGCAGAATTAATTCTTATTTCTTTTAGAGAAAGAAGAGAACAAAAAAAATTGTTTAAAAATGCAAAGTGAATAATAAAAATGAGCAAAACACAAAAACAATTTTTATGAGTAAGAAAGACTGTGTATAGGCCAAACAACAAAATTGTATTTTTAAAAAGGCGAAAATTTTTTTTTTTAAATTTCAAAAGCCGTAGGCCAAAAGATCACTTTTTTTGCACAGTCTGGGGGTTGCCCCTCTCCACTAACCACCCTCTGTTTATAGTCTAGCCTTAAATTATGGTTTTTGACAGATGAGAGAATAAGCACAAAGTATTTTTTTTGAATAAGAAATAATAGATTTTTCAAAATGGTCTTTTTCAAAATGGTCTAACTTGAGAATGGTAATTTTAGAAATGGTCAAATTTAAAAAAAATCAATTTAAAAATGGTCAGATTTATAATGGTAAAATTTCTAAATGGCCAACTTTAAAAATATTTTTGGAAAATTAATTTAAACGGATGAATGAATACGCACAGAACTAAACTCTTTCTTTTTTTAAAGTCCCATTTTAGATAGATTTAAACTATGAGTTTTGAATCGGCTCTAACATAATTTTTTTTGAAAGCCATAAATTTTTGAATCAGCCCTAGAATTTTGAATTGGCCAAAAATTTTTCTTTTTAAGTTCCTGAATAAATTTTCTCTTATTTTTAGTAATACAGTAATACAGCCATAAAGAAATATATTTTATGTTATATTTTTTTAGAAAACTACCATGAATTTATATTATTTTCCAATTAAAACAATTTTTTTTAATTAAATGTTGTTGTTGTTGTTAAGTATTCTACATAGCTAGTAGTACATAGAATAAATTTAGTAGGTACCTAAGTACCCAAATGTAAAGCATCACCTTTTGGTGGAAAACTTGAATTAGGTGGAAAAACATCACCCTTTTTTGTAGGCCAGAATTAATAAATATTTTTGTAGGGCCGTGATTAATTATTTTCTTCTTCTATTTTTTTTTGTTAAGGCCAATATGAATAATTAATTTCTTCTTTATATTTTTTTTTTGTTAAGGCCAATATGAATATTTTTGTTGTTGAATATTGTATATATTAATAATATATAAAATGCGCTAGTAGGTACCTAAGTACCCAAATGGTGGAAATGCTCACCCTTCCCGGGGAAAATAAATTTACCATGCCCTACTGTAGCCTCCCGGGCCGGTCCGTGCACTGACCGGACCCGGGGAACGCGACGGACCTTTCCCTTACCCACGAAGGGTAAGGAGTCCGGTGCTACCAGTTAAATAGGGGCCCGCCTATTTAAGAATGAGGAATTGAAGGTGGAAGATATTAGAATCCCAGAGGTGTTAGAGCTAAGTAGGGGTAATGGTTTCGACATGCCGCTTGATCTAGCATATAGCTGACCGTAATCAATAATATAAGCTCAGTTGGAATGTTCTTCAACTGGATAAAAGAGTGACTCACAGTCCAGGCCGACTGAAGCGCTTTTCCCTATTTTCCTTTTGATTATAAGCTTCTTCTCTATAGGCGGGTCTATCGCTTGTTTCTCACTGATTACACTTTGCAACTTCCTATTGCCTAGCGTATGAATTCCGCCTTTCCCTATTCACGTGAATTTCCTTTTTGGCCTTTTAATCAAAGTCCACCTAGCTCTCGGATTTAACTTTAGAGTCTAACATTATTATTCAAAGAAAATAGCAAGACAAAAAGGAGGCGGAGAATATTTTTATTGAAAAAAATTATTTTCATTAAAAGAAAAATAACAAAATTTTCAACCAAAAATAATACATACCTATCTTTTATTAATAAAATTGGAAGAATATTTAAAATTAAAATTGAATTTTAAAAATTATTTTTATTTAGGTATTTAATATTTACAACAAAATTTTCAAAATTTATTTCTTTAAATGATTGGTGTATTTTGATACTACGGGCAGGTAATTAAAATAAAAATTAAAAAATTAAAACTAGATTGATTTACTCTCACAAATCAAAGTTAGATCCTTCCAAAGTGTCTGATCTCAATACTACCTATCAAGGACGATTCAGTATCGAAGCCATATTTTGGGCCATAACTTTCTTATTTTTGCCTTCGATTCGAGTAGTTCTCATATCATTCGAAAGGTCTCGAGATGCGGCATCTTTTTAATATTGAACTGATCGAAAATTCTACAGATAATTAGTGCCAAATAAAGTCGAAAATCACGATTGTTAGCAGGCTGTGACCTTTTGTTGGATGATCAAATCAATCCTGCTAATTAAATAATCCGCACCTTTAGAGCTTTGATTGATCAGAAAAGTTGTGGCCCAAAATATGACCTCAATACCGAATCAGCGATAATCAGATAGTCGTCCCCCACCCCGATTTTAATACCCATAATTAGAACCGTCCATGACTCTTGATCTTGAGTCTTATGTTGGAGGTTCTTTTCCTTGGTCTTGGGGTGACGTCTTGGTCTCGACTTTATTGAGCTTTTGAAATATACACTCCTAAAGATGAGTGAAAATCTTCGGTCTTGGAAAGCTCCACTCCTAAAGATGCACCTCAAATTTATGATATTTTTTAAAATTTTATTTGAATATTGGTTGAGTAGAGAGATAATTTTGTCTTTTGTGTTGCTATTATGTATCAAGAAAAATTGTTAAAAATACATATTTAATGTTCGTAAAAGCAGACTAAAACTTAGTATAAAAACAAATAATTTTTCCCTAATAAACATTCCTGTTAGCAAACTTCTTCACTTTTATTATTCAATTGAGCTGCTTTGCGTGTTTGTTTTACAAGTATTTGGCAATTTTTTTTTGGCGTATTGTTCGTTGCTCAATATTCTGTTCGTTTAAACCCTGGTTACGCTTCAAGTGTTTTTGGCAAATTTGTTGGTTCTCGTGTACTTTCTTGGAAATTTGTTACTCGGACGATGAAAGACCATAAACAACAAGAGGAAAGGGAATGCGGGAAGAAAAAGGCCAGTTTGAAAAGTGAAATAAAACAGTCTTTTTTTTAATTTTTAGAATGCGGGTGATGATGTTCAAAAAAAAATTGCCTTAGAAAGGAAATATTATGTACCAATGCAACTTGTCCAAAACGAAGAACAGAACAATGCACCTCAAAATAAAGGAGTTAAAGGATGGTTCGAAAGTAAGTTAGGTTTACTAAAGATAAAGTGACCATCCTAAAATAAATCTGAGTTTTTCCGCGAGAACTTTTGTTCCTTTAAAACAATGCGGGAATGGTCACATCCTCTTTAATTCTTGAATTACTGTTACTTTAAAATTTTTATTTTAAGCTATTGGAAATCGTGGAGGAATACCAACTATCAGGGAACAGTTTGTACGTGAATTGGAAAATTATGAATGTATATCTGCTACTACAAAAGAATATAAACAAGCCAAACATTACGACCTTCAGCATTATGTTGACGTTCCATTGATCGACAAGAATAGAGTTAAAGTCAAAAAGGGATTTAAAGGTGATTAACCTTATGTTTAAACAAAAAATCCTTAATATTTCAGGTATTGACTTTTACCATGCTAATTTCATTACTGGTGGATGTTACCCTCTCATTTGTGGTCAGGGGCCAATAAATAAATCAACTTATCAATTTTGGGCATTGGTCATTGAGCAAAATTGCGGTGTAAGTATTCTGATTTTAAGTCTGCCTAATAGGAAAAATCTTTAAATTCAGGTCGTCGTTCAACTCTGTAAAGATAATGAAGGGGGCGAAATCAAATGCGGAAATTATCTAAATAGTGGAACAACGAAGTACGGACAAAATATAACAATTAAAATCAAAGAACAAACTGTTTATTTACCCTCCAATAATGATGTCCGAAAAACCGTAATCGAAGCTGGATATAAAAACAAAAAGTTCATTGAAGTGAGTTGATAAAGACTTCAAATAGAAATTCTTAGGGTTTGTATTATGCAAACCGGTGGGGCAATAGTTTAAAGAGGTTCCTTAGATTTTCATTAGGGAAATATGAGTTAACCCTAAATTTGAGAAAATATTGATAATCTAGCCTTTTTTAATTTTAAGGTTATACACCTGCTTTATCTTGGTTGGCCTGAAAATGACGTGCCTTTTTCGCCTTCTTCATTCTGCCAGTTCAATAAATATATTCGAGATCTTGCTGAAAGTCGTAAATGTACAGTTTTTTGTCATTGTAGTGCTGGCGTAGGTCAGTTTTTGTGTTTGTGTTTAACCAATTTAAAATAAAATTTTAAAGGGCGTAGTGGAACTTTTGCAGGAGTTCAATTGGCAATTCAAACATTAATTAAATTAAATCGAGAAGTACAAATTGCTACAATTTTTCTATGGCTTCGTGATCAGCGGGCGTGCTCTGTACAAACTGATCTGCAAGTGATTTCCTTTTTGAAAAATTCAAAAAATAAAATTTATTTTTAGTATTTGTTCATTCATCGAGCAGTTATAGAAGAAGCAATAAATTGTGGATTACTTGGAAAGAATAATAAAAAAGTCAGCGCCTTCATTCATGAATATGATCAACTCGTAAAGCGAAAACGTGAAGAACGAAGAATTTTAATGGAGAAAATTCGTGGTGATAAGTGAACAACATATTTGCTCTTGTGTATTTAATTCCATTTGTCTTATTTCTATAAGCTTAATTTGTATCCGTTGTATATATTCCTTACTATAAGCTTAATTTGTATCCGTTGTATATATTCCTTACTATAAGCTTAATTTGTATCCGTTGTATATATCCCTTACTATAAGCTTAATTTGTATCCGTTGTATATATTCCTTATTCCATTACAAATGTTGTATGGTATTTTTATGTATCCTATTAATTTATGAGCTTGTGTATATGTCCGTATCCCTTTATTGATGGAAATATATATTTATTTAATTACCCCTACACAACTATTAAATTCTGCTTAAAGCATTTTTTATATTTTTGGCAAATGTCTTCTGTATTGTCGAACAGTTTAGGGCAAGTTTTATTTTTATTTTCAAAGAATATTTTAAAAACCTTCCCGAGTATTTTTCTTTATCTTTTGGCATTCTGTTTTAAATTAGGCCACCAAAATTACTCATTTGGGGAAAAAGTCCACTCACATGTTTTCGGCCTTTTCCTTTTTTTTCGAATTCAGCTCGGTTCCGTTTTTTAATTTAAAACTACGTAAATCCTCTTCCTTTAGGAAAATCTTTTTAGAAAAAAATTTAATAAATAAAGCCAAGGCTCTTTCAATTTTTAATCCTTTCTAATTTTTAGGAGCTCAACAACAGTAATTATACTTGTGAAACCTCCAAGTTTGATTATAAAATGGCCAGGTGTGCATCTGATTAGTATTGATTCGATCAAAGACGCCAAAATTGGCGCTGGAATCGAGAATTCTGTGGATGGTGTGCGCACTGTTGGAATTATTTTGCAAATAAAGGAAGAGGGAGTAGTTACTGGAATTAATGAATGTTGTAGTTCTGGAAAGGAAAATCTGCGCTTTAAGCAGATTATATAATGGTGAGGTAATTTGTATATTTGTTATACAGGCGGGTCTCGTCTAGGATTCACTCAGTAATTTTAAGGTGGGGTTTCCTCTAAGAGCACCTCCATTTAATAGACGTTTTCTAAATTTTGGGTTGGTCACTGAGTGGGAAAGCTGCCTAAGGAAGGAAGAAGGCCTAATCCTCTATTAAATAAACGTCTGTATAAGTCTTGGGTTGGTTATTGAGAGAGGAAGGAGAAACTGTCTAATTGCTACCCTCTATTTAAGACACCCCACCTTTTTCAACCCCAAGGGTGTACCTTATAATGTAATCTGACTTAAAATTTTCTTTATTTTTCAAAAAGAATATTGAACGTCTCGTTTTGGAAGTCAAGCCATTCAGTCGTCTGCCCACATCTTCTTGGAAAGCTCTAATTCAAGCGCGTTTATATGTTGCGGAATATGGTGGTTCTTTTCGTTTGGTGATGGGGGAAGTGTTTGAATTGTCAACAAATAGTTCTAGGGTTTCCGAAGTGCTTTAATGCCCATAGATTTCGACATCTATTTCGTCATCTAGGGTTTCCGAAGTGCCCTAAAGGCCATAGATTTCGACATCTATTTCGTCATCTAGGGTTTCCGAAGTGCTTTAATGCCCATAGATTTCGACATCTATTTCGTCATCTAGAGTTTCCGAAGTGCCCTAAAGGCCATAGATTTCGACATCTATTTCGTCATCTAGGGTTTCCGAAGTGCCCTAATGCCCATAGATTTCGACATCTATTTCGTCATCTAGGGTTTCCGAAGTGCTTTAATGCCCATAGATTTCGACATCTATTTCGTCATCTAGGGTTTCCGAAGTGCCCTAAAGGCCATAGATTTCGACATCTATTTCGTCATCTAGGGTTTCCGAAGTGCTTTAATGCCCATAGATTTCGACATCTATTTCGTCATCTAGAGTTTCCGAAGTGCCCTAAAGGCCATAGATTTCGACATCTATTTCGTCATCTAGGGTTTCCGAAGTGCTTTAATGCCCATAGATTTCGACATCTATTTCGTCATCTAGGGCTTCCGAAGTGCTTTAATGCCCATAGATTTCGACATCTATTTCGTCATCTAGAGTTTCCGAAGTGCCCTAAAGGCCATAGATTTCGACATCTATTTCGTCATCTAGGGTTTCCGAAGTGCCCTAATGCCCATAGATTTCGACATCTATTTCGTCATCTAGGGTTTCCGAAGTGCCCTAATGCCCATAGATTTCGACATCTATTTCGTCATCTAGGGTTTCCGAAGTGCTTTAATGCCCATAGATTCGACATCTATTTCGTCATCTAGGGTTTCCGAAGTGCCCTAATGCCCATAGATTTCGACATCTATTTCGTCATCTAGGGTTTCCGAAGTGCTTTAATGCCCGTAGATTTCGACATCTATTTCGTCATCTAGAGTTTCCGAAGTGCCCTAAAGGCCATAGATTTCGACATCTATTTCGTCATCTAGGGTTTCCGAAGTGCCCTAATGCCCATAGATTTCGACATCTATTTCGTCATCTAGGGTTTCCGAAGTGCCCTTCTATGTCCGCCATAACCGGAAGAAATCTGATGAGGATGAAGATGATGAAGAATTCAATTCCAATAATTTTAGTAGAATTTACTTTGCTGAATGGAAGGAGGTAAATTGATAAATAATTTATTATCTTATATTCATAAAATATAGTTTTAGTAGTTGGGTTAACTGGGGAGTTTTTGAAATTTCTAGAAATTTTATTAAGGGGATATTAATAAAAATATATTTATATAAATGATTTTTAACCATTTTTAAAGGGTCTTCATGAGCAATTAACTCGAAGTGTGCGCCATTCAGAAAAAGAAGGTTAAAGAAATTTAAAATAATTTTAGAGAATTTTTTTGAAATTTTTGTTTAGTTAGAGTTTTTTTTGTTTTTTTTGATTTTCGAGTTTTTTGAAAATTTGATTTTTTGTTAATTAAATGTGTTTAATTCTTGCTGTGCTTGCTACTCAATATAATCCCGTGCCTTTTGCTTAAATGCATTTTTGATAACAAAATTTGCTTTAAAATTTATTTATGGCCTGTTTTTTTAAATGAAAAAAACAAATAAATTAAAATTTTGGAATTTAATCAAAAAATATATTTTCTACTCAGTTCGATTTTTCTCGAGATATCTCGTGAGATTACTATTTATGACC